ACAGTCTTTTTACATAATAAGTTTGATAGCCCTCTCACATGGGGGGGTGGGGCCCACGATTCATGGGTATGGGGCCCGTGATTGTGGGCCCTATCCCATGTGAGAGGGCTGTCAAAATGTACGTTTAAAAAGGTTGTAAGTGTAGTATTTCTCTAAGTTTATTTACCTTTACATCGTCCAAAAATTAGTGTATATTTTGTTTGAGTTTTAGAAATATAAGGTATAAATTATGGGTGTGTTTGATGGATATTATTGATGATAGAACGTATTTTAAATAGTGATATGATGAAAAATATGTGGTTAAAAAGTAAGGAAAAGTTATTGATGTGATGAAAAATATTATTTTATTGAAAAATTTGTGTTTGAAAATGAGTTTTAAAATAATGTATTTTGAAAGAATGTATACCAGATAATCTATAACTCTACTCCTATTCTCAAAATTCCTGTCAAATCACTTATTTTTTGTAATTGTGAAACGGGAAATGCTACATGTACAATGTTGGATTACAACATTGGGTTACAACCTCTCACAAAAGAGGTGGGTCTCGCGATTAAAATAATAGTGGACCCCACCTCTCTTGTGAGTAGTTGTAAACCAATGTTGTAATCCAATATTGTACAAATAGCATTATTCTTGTGAAACATTCACTGAACACAGCCTTAGATTGGATATCACATCATAGAGGTTTCAAGAAAAAGGAAAAAATAAAAAAAACAAATCACATCATAGAAATCACACTTTTCCCCTTTTTTTCGGTAAGTTTGTGAATGTGAAACGTCAATTGAACATAGCCTTGGATTTCGTAGGGGTTTCAAGAAGGAAAAAGAGAGGAAGAAATAACCAAAATGAAGATAATTTGAAGAGACTCTAATGATAATCAAATGACAAGAAAAGATTGAGGTGATGAGGAGAGCAAATTAGTTGATTAGGAAATCTTTGTAATAATTCCCATTTTGAAATTTTGATTCATTGGCATGTTGTGGAACCCTCACATGTATTCTCGTATCTCCTCGATTTTCTTACCAGTGAAATTTACACATAATTATAAATTCGATTGTGCAATATGTACATAATATGTTTACATAATAATTTACATACACATAATTTGGTGATATATAATTGTATCAAAATTTCTTCGACCAATTTTTTTTTTAAAAAAA